TGCCCCCCCCAGCCACTCACACCCAGTTGCTGCCTGAAAGCTACTGCACAGGGATCAAACAACGTCCACGAGAAAGCTCAAGAGAGGGTGTGTGTGGAGAGGCAGAGGGTGAGTGGTGCATGACTGGGGTTAGAAAAAAGTCACAACTCACATGATCGTTGATTAATTGAGTGATTTTAGTCAAGTGAATATTGATACATGGCAGGAAAAGCATGAAAATAAAATGAACTCGTACAGGAATTACTATTAACATAAGCGATAACATCAAAACATCTGGTAAGAGGCAGTTAAAAAAACAACACAAATGACATGGAATGTAAAACATTTTCACAGTATTTGAAGCGTTTGTGAAAGATCTGGACTCTAACGGAGGAGAACTACAGCAAGGGACTAGCTCAAAGGGGGCTGTCACCCGTGTCCTGTACATCTGCGGGAGGCAGGGCAGGACTGCGGGACACTGCTCCCGCGAAGTTGCCGGTGGCGTTCCTCTTAACACAGACCATCTGAGCCCGCCGCATCTCTGAGGCTGCAACGCAGCACGGAGTCGCTGGGACTCTGATGAGGAAAACAGATTCTAGGCTGGGGAAATGGGATTTCTGTCATTTACAGATCCAAAGGAAAACCAGAGCTCTGATTGGATTCTGCCTTGGGGGGATCTTGGTGCTAATCCGTAGACACCAAGAACCAAGTGTAACACAGGATATTTTTAAAATATAGTGTTCTTGGACTCTGTCTCCATTCTAAAATAATTACTAATATTCTTCAAAAATTTAGCTGAGTTCCGCCAACAGCCTCCCAGGGCCCTCCGCAATGATTACTTTAAAGCTCTACAGATCCACCTTCACCCTGCACCTCCTCTTTTGCAAACCAATGACTAAGGCCAGGAGCCCGCATGCTGGTTTTGCTTGGTCCTTTGCTGAAACAAAGGTGGATGATAATACAGCTTTGGGGGCGGGGCCGTGGACAGCCAGCCTCCCTTCTCTGAAATTGCCCATGTGATCAAGATGCAGCAGGGTGCATGTAGGCTTCATCAAAACACAGAGAAACTCAAAGCCAGGGACTCTGAAGCTACGCTAGAGTCTGCAGCTGCAATTCCCGCTTCCAATGCAGTCTGCATTCTTTCTGCAGACTGCATTGCTTCTTACCTGAGAACCCCCAGCATGGCCCCAGCACCTGGCTTCCATCTTCCCTGCAGAAACGGCTAAGGCCCCAGCCTGGGGAGAGGTCATTGGTGCATGGGGCACCGGGACAAGATGAGCAGATACAAAGGAACACTGGACTCGAGAGCAAATCAGCCAACACTGGGACCCAGAACCACACGCTCGTGAAACAGCTCTGCTTTTCCATGTGATGACAGACAAGTAGATCATTTCTAATCAGCTAACATATATACACATCTCTACATCCTCCGGGATGACAGGCAAGTCAGTAAGGGCCCCAAACACTTTATGCTTCAAGGTCAGAGAGAACTGAAAGAAAACGTATTGCAACGATGGGATGATTAATTGTGAGGTTAATTATGTCAGGTGGGGAACTAAGCTGGTAGGCTGATGTGCAGACTGGCGTCTTCTGAAGTGCATAGAATCTTCCACTCTTTC